TATAGCTAGACTGAAACGGTCTGATTTACAATAAACTCCTTCACCGAATTCTCTCTCCAGCGACCCTGCTCTCCTTCCGCAACTGCACATTCTTTATAGATCAGTCCCCTAGTAGGTAAATACTGGATGTAAATACTAGTCAACAGCAAACACAAGCAGGAGACACTAGCATCAATCCTGGACACTGCAGGCTTAGGTTACATCTGCAAGCTGAATTGAAATCAGCTCTCCAGATGTGCACTGGCTAACTGTGCACCTCAAATACTAAGCAGCAGCTGGCAGTTGGACAGCCTGGACAAATGTCACCTGGCACAAAAAAGTATCCTTCCCAATGGACAACTTACCAGCCAAAACAAACTGCCATCAGACTCATGATTGATACGATGTGTTACTAAACATTTTCCAATGAATCCATGTCCACAATTGCAACACTTCATTTCTAGTGCCTGCAGCGAATGGAGCGGGGGGCTTGGTTGGGTTCCAACAGCGCCGATGATATTGTGTCACTCACCCTATAGGCAGAAGCAAAGCGACACAGAAGATTTTCCCATAACGATGGGTGGCACGAACAGCCAGCCAGGGACGTTATATCTTTGTTCCCCTGGCAGGGCCGTAGGAAGAAAGTCACCTCTGGCTGTCACATGAACTGACCCCATGAGAAGAAAATAACAGCTCTTCTTTGAGATCCAGGAGCCTTTCTCCTGCATCCAGCAAGTTCACTGTTCTTCCACAGATAAATGCCTAAAGTTGAAATGGGATCTGAGGCTACGCGGTGGTGGTGATGTTGCTCCCCACTTTTGCACCATAGGCTGATTGGGCACTTTCTCCAGGGAATGAAAGACCCATGCTCCAGCCACCCCCTTCCCAATCTGAAGGAATCTGAAGCCCACATCTCCTGCTTTCTTGTAGGTCCCTAACCACCAGGCTCCCAGCAAAGCAAGGCCAAGTGTGCCCTCCTCACCTCCTGTGTCACGCCAAGCAGCCAAATCCTTTCCTGCCTCTGATCCTATCTATCCATTTAATCAAAACATGGTTTCACAAAATGCACAAGCAGCAATGTGGACAAGAACAGGGGCCAGAACCCAGGACACGTTCCTTTCTAGGGGCGCCAGACCGAGGCTGCTTCTGGACTAAGTACAGACAGTCAAAAAGCTGGAGGCTGAATCAATTCAGTCTTTGCAGGTGAGTCTAAGCTGCATCGATTAAACCAAGAAGCAAGTGAACAGACATTCACTTTTGGTTCAGGAAATGCAGCCATATGCCTACAGTGACTCAGGCCAGAAGCCGGGGGCACTAGAGCATGCCTCCCAGCCTGCCAGCCACTGCCAAAGGGGAGGGACTGAAGCGCCAAGGTTTCCTCCCCTCCCTGCTCCAGCGGAGGGGACATGGCCAGGTCCCAGCCCTGGGCTAGCATGCTGGAGGGTGGGGGTTTAAATACTCTCCCTAGACCACATCAGACCCCAACCCCGGTCTGCCTGGGAAGGGGGCAGGCAGTGCCTGCCAGGCTTCTGCCCTCTCCCACCCCCCTCTCGAGGCTGCCAGGCTGAGGAGGAGGTGGATGGGGGAAAAGCTAGTGGCACTAAATTCATAAAAGTTTGAACAAGAATAGTTTTCTCTCTGAACTGAGCACGTATTGAACACAGCAATTTGCAACTTCAAGCACACAAGAAGCAACCACCAAAAATCTTTGCCTATGCTAAAATGCAGCCCAGTAAAACACAAGGTGAGCACACACAACTTAGTCTACCTTAAAATGTAAACCAAGAAGGCAAGAGAAAGTCTTATGTAATCCTGAGTGTCTCCTTACAGCCAGGTATTCAAAAAGTCCTTCTTGGGGAATTGGCAGGTGGTCTTAGGTGTTGGAGCAGAGATCTCACAGGCCTCATCTCTACTTGGGTTTCTACAGGCACACTTTCACCCCTTTGGGTGCCTTGACACTAGTGTGCTTGTTGTCACCTATAGCACCTTTGGCAGATCAGGACTCTCAGGCATTCAGCGTCTTTTGTCTCTGCTTAGGTATTCCTGTCTCTCACCTTCTACTGGTTCTGTTTTATAATGTAAATGTAGCTCTCTGCTTTCTTTGGTCACACCAGCCCAAGCAGTCCCTCTCCTGTTCCCTTAGCTCCATCTCCAGCACACATGTGACTATTGTTTCACTTTGCCAACACTTCCCACCTCTCAGTCTGGTTGGCGGGGCTTGGCCTTATGTTCACAGGTGGCAGGGGACCAGTCCCTCCAGCCCCCCCAGACCTCATATGGGTTTGCCTGGGGGGCAGTCCCTCTCAGGCTGTTGCCCACCTGCACCAGCAGAGATCAGGGGGCACGGGGAGCATACTGAGCTGAGGAAGGGGGGATTAAAGCCCCTCTGAGACCCCAGCTGGGGCAGTCCCTCTCAGGCTGTTGCCTCCCTGTGCCCCCACCCCCTCTACTCCAGCAGGAAAAAGTCTGATGGGGCTGCCCCCTCCCCCAGGCAGACCCAGCTGCAGTCACCAGCTGGGCTTCCCACCCTCACCCCCACCCCCTTGTCAGCCAGCCCTCACTGCTCTGGCTGGGGAGCAGAGGGGCAGGGCCAACAGCAACTGACAGCACAGCCCAGCTCAGGGCTGCAAAGCATGCTGGGATGTCAGGGGACTGTGATTTAACTTGAAGCAGGAAGGGGTCTGGGACAGAAGTTTCATAAACCAGCTTGACCTAAATTAGTTAAGTCTGATATTTATTACATTATCTTAACCCAGTTTTAGCCAGTTTGAAAGTGGTCTATGTGCACTGAGCTTCTGTTGTGTTAAAGGCTTAGAACAGTTTCTGATCACTTAAACCACTATGTGCAACTTCTGTCCCTAGTCCTGACGACTTCTTCTGACTCCACCTCCACTTTACTGAGTAGATGTGAATTCAACCTCTTAGAACCTCTTCCTGGGCAAGTGCCCTACAACCAGGCTATTAGGCTAAAAGAAAGGAGGGTTTCCTCCTCTTCCTCCACACATCCTCCTCCTCCTAATTTCTCCACCTGGCTTTCTTCTGATTAAAGCTTTGGGGACTTGCATGACATTGAGTTCTCCTGTGCTCTGTAGTGACAGGAAAATTGACCATAGTGGGTATCTTCTGAGCATGCCCAGAAAGACAAGGCTAAAACAGTTAGAAACAAGGATCTAAGTTCTGCACACATGGCATTTCAACACCTGAACAAGAATTTGGGCCATAACAATCCTAGCTTAGCTCACGAGACTTGGAGTAGCACCAGCAAAGTCTACGTGGAGTAGCATTACAAAAGTGCTGCTCATCTGCATTGGAAAAATTAAATCCTGTCCTCCTGGATTCAGACTGGCAGTTGCAGTAGTAAAAGCTACAAGAAGACAGGGATTATTCATTTTTACCACCAGTGTCATCTCACCAGACTCAGGAGAGGATTTAGCAGACAGTAGCAAAAATGCCCTAGCACTCATCATTCTGTTACCAGGGCAAGGGCAGGCAATTATTTTGGGCAGAGGGCCGCTTACTGAGTTTTGGCAAGCGATCGAGGGCCACATTACGGGAAGCCAGGGGCAGATATATATTCATTTTCTAAATTTTTAGGGGCCCCGCAGGCCAGACAGAGTGGCCTGGCAGACCACATCCGGCCCACGGGCCACGTTTTGCCCACCCCTGCACTAGGGGTTCCCTCTTTGGCACAGTGAATGCAGCTCCAATCCAACAAGCAGTGTCAACACTTACCACTGCCTCCAGCCGGGATAAGCAGTTCCAGGGTGGCAGAATTACAATCCAGTCTCAAGTGTTTGTGAAATTTGCTACCTCCCCCCTTCCCTTTTCATGCTGATTTTAATATATCAGTATATATTTTTATAAAGATGATTATAGTGAGGGAGGGGAAAAGACAAGAACCACTCAAATATTCTCCATGGAAGAATGGACAAGGCAACCTGGCTCTTATTATTTCCAGCTGGGCCACCAATTTCCTGAGAGCTGCAAGTAAAACAGCACTTGCTTTTTTGCCTCTGTTCTCCCGCTTCTATAAATGTAGATAATAGCAAACTTCAGGGTCTTATGAATGTTAATTATGTACTTCAAGATCCTTGAGGGCTGCATAACTGCAAAGTATTAGCCGATGGTTATGAGCCATCTACAGACACACGATAGTAAATGATGGGTGTCTGTCTAGCTCATCAAAAGAGAGGAAACAGAATGCTTGGAATTTTAGTGGTTTTTTGACTTGCAGGATTTCATTATGATCCAATACTACAAGCCCTGCAGCATTCAATGTTATGGATTAATACAAAACCAGTTTGGCAACAAGCCGTAAAAATGTCATTGAAAAATGCAGGAGCCCAGAAATGTTCAGATGTATCACAGTAACATTCATGGATATAGAAGCAGAACATACTTAAAAGTCTACTATAAGGGGCTGCAGGCCAGATTTGTATTGAATATTTCATCTGGTTTTTGATTATGCATTTAACAAATATGAAAAACTACCATCTCGCATGCATCCAAGAAGTACAGTAACACATCATCTTAGAGGATTTAGAACAGACAAGACTCCTGCATCTCTTGGGAATAAAAACTCCATTTCAAGTCATATACAAATGAAAAGGGAAATTTTAAATCTTAAATTCTGAATATTTACCTTTTTAATGGGAATGATAAAATCAACTAGTGTATTAAAGAGTAGCTTTTACTAAAAAAATAAAGTAGAATATTTACATAAGTAGAAATGACTAAGAAGAAAGTAGCTGGAGGCTGAGAACAGGCTATAGTAAAACAATTAAAAAGATATGAATTCAGTATCTGATCCTTCAAGCAGGCTTGTTACTTCTCTGGACAGATTTTTTATTTATTTATTTTAAACTCCCATACTATTTGTATTGCCACCTTATTCATTCAAAATGAACTCTAACATAGGCACTTGCACTGCAACTGAATAGAGGTATAATCTCCACAAGATGCCCGAATATTTTTGCATAAGACAAAGAAACCAAACCAAACAGTGAATGAACATAGACCAATTTATTTTTACATTAATTATACACATTTTTACATTAGTTATACACACTGTATAGGATGGCTCATCTTTCATGTTTACATGATTATATAAAGTTGTTATATTACAAAGGAAATGCAACCTCGATAGAAAAATACCCATACTGATATTCATCAATACATAAGTTGTCAGTAATTACAGTATTTGACATATAGTGGAAACAGAAGCGATTCATGGGGAAGAAGGTTGAAATGCAGTTATCCTAGTGATACAATTCCTTTAAACATACCGATAGATTTTTTTGTTCTTTACTGAAACACCCAGTTCCCTTGCTTCACATTTTATACAGTATCTATAAATAACTAATGCCAGTTGGGTTATAATCTTTTTGTTCTGATGAATTCAAAGAATTTCCTCTTTGCATTTAAAGTGAGCTTCAATTGCAAGAGAAAATGGGCTAATATATGCTTTTGCCAAAGCAAATCAGCAAACAGCTTCTTACCTGTGCAGATATAATACTTTCACACAAGTGGTTGAGTGAACTCATACATCTATCCTCTATCAAAAACCACACATCTTCACAGTGATTCACATGGCATAGTGTAGGACACATTGGTCTTTAAAGCACTAGTAACATCATAATGTCTGAATTGGCAAGGTCCATCATTTTGAATGAGGCCTCACAGTTCAAGTTTTGAGTGCACTTTAACTTACTATTAAATACTTTGGCATCTTTAAAATGCCTGTATTGTGTATAGCTAGGTTTATATTCACACACACACACACACACACACACCATAAATACTTAGCCCTTTGCAGGTTATTTCCACCAGTCCAAACACTGTAAAAAATATGTAAGCAATCATGCCAGCTCAATGGTCAAGCAAACATTTCACTGATGCGGAGCATCAGTCTTTGGGTCCTAAGATTCACAACTATTTTCTCTCTTCTTGCTCTATGCTCTGAGCAGTGTAACATTGCATTTTCCAAAGCATGCAGACAGGCCCTTTGAGAATTTGGTGCTTAGACCTGATATCCTGATAAAGTCAGTTAAGTTTTGCTAGAACTAAGAGGCTAAACTTCCTTCTTGCTCCTTCTTAGCATTTGTAGCCGCCAGGAAGAATGGAGACACTGGAATAGCAGGGGAGAACTAGAACTGCCTGCCTGCCTTTTAATCTGGACAGCTACTCTACAATGGGCACCTAGCCAAAGCTCGATTGTTTTTGGCAGTGCCGATGTTCTAGACATTTCTGATTAATATATATATTTTAAAGAAAAAATTAACGCCAGGAAGGAAATATTTGAGTGAGCGGCCTATCCTTTAAAAAGATTTGTCATGTGAGATTATGAAATTACACCATGGTTTAAAATTAAGGGCAGACTAAAATACATGACAAAACATGGGATTTAACTCAGGTCAGGTTTGGTCTAAGAAAATTGTTGAAAGGGTTATTGAACAGCTGTTCATAGAACAACCACAGCCAATTAAACCCTGTTGACAGTACCGTTTCAAATACATTTTTCCTAATTTAGATGTTTCTTTAGAGTAAGGTGTTCTCAATTTTTTTTATTGCTAATAGAAGTTAGTAACACTACCCATGCATCTGAGTTTTATGAATGTTATTTTTACAGCTTAAGTATTAGCAGAAGCAAAATATATATACTCTGGAATTTAGAGGGAACTCCCATGTATTGTAATGCAATATGCGATAGACTGCTTCTGCAGGTAATGAAAAAAGGGCACAGAGATCAGATATTGAAAGATTATTTATAAAGATAGAAGATTGAGAGTAAACAGACAGAAAACTAGCACAGTTGGGAAGTAATTTCTAACTAAGAATGTCATGCTTTGCATAGGTCCTAACTACTTTTAACTATCATTGTCATAAACCTGTTAAAAGATTTGTTTAATGGATCTTAAAAGTTTTAGGGGTTTAAAAAATTAGCACTGCATGCAAACTGATTTTATTGTAAATGCAACCCTGTATTATTCATTACAACCTTTTCATCAAGAAACTTGTGCAGAATCCATGTTGTGTTAAGCTTCCTCATTTCTATATGCAACAAAAATGATAAACATCTCTATCTAGAGTATAATAATATTCCTTTCATTAGCTGCATAAAGGAACTGAGCAGATTAACCTTACAAGAAACAGTTATACCCTATATCTACTCAATCCAAACCTCCTACCCTCCAGTTAGTCAAGTTTTAGACCTAACATCCTTTACAGTGCTTCCTTAGCAAACTGTGGCACCTGGCAAAATAAGAGTCAGTGAAGTCATTCTTTGTAGGCTAGCTGGTATCTTGTGGGCAGTCTCATACTAGCTTTTAGTGGATTGCTGCTATTTTACACACACTGTCATAATTAGCACCTTTTGGTAGTCTCAAAGACAGGACAATCATTTTTTACCCCTTCCTCCATAACCCACTGCTTACACTGTACTTTGAAAGTTTCAGAAAGTGAAGATCTCAGTCTGGTCCCTGTCATCAATCCCCTTCACATGAACATTTAACTTAAACATTTGCTGGCCTTTTTTTTTTTTTTTAACCTGGTCCTATTAGACCTTAACATTTGGTTTATCCTGTTTTTTCCTAAAGCTTGAATGTTGTTTTCATATGCAAGTATGAAGATCTCTATCAGTACAGGAAGCCAATTCATTCTAACATTCCCTGAGTTGCTGAGGTGCCTTGAAGATGCATCATTACCCGTCACAAACCTAACCTGTACCGGCGTACTAGCAAAGTCTATGCTGAGTCCCATTGTAGTCGAATAAAAAACTCTGAATGGGCCTAGGTCGTCTGTTAGAGGATCTTGATATACATTATCACAGGCTAAAGAAAATGAAAACGTACTTACACAGGGAGACACTTTAAGGCCTAAAATTGTAGGAGGTTTTCATTGGTTGGCAGTGCAACTATACAGAACTCATGTTCCCATTTATCAGCTGAGATGTTCAAGAGAAAATACAGTTATGCTTGGTTGAAGATAACAGTCTACTTATACAGTTACAGCCAAAGCTTGAACTCTGGGGAGAAAACACCACTGATCGACTGGCTGCAAGTACTAAATAAGGCAGAGAGTATTGATTTAGGGATCTTGTAGAATCAAACTGCAGCATACAGGAAACACTGATGATGTACACTTCCCAGTAAGGACCATTACTTCCAGTAAGGTCCATTCCAGTAAGGTCCATTACTTCCCAGTAAGGACCTTGTTACTCTGAAGGGACCCAGTGATATGTTGAGTTTAAATATTAAAGTATTCTACACAACTTAAAAGCTTGAGATCTAGGTTTCAATGCAGATGAGAATTACCAAGTGGATTCACTATAATAAATTCAGAGATCATATTTAAAAACTGAAGGCAATTAAAAGACTAGAATAAATTACCTGGAATAACACATCTGAATCTCTTTGCAATCCTGAAATGCCTAGTTTTAGACAAAAATGGGCAGGAAGATAGTTTGGGAATGCAAACCAGAAATTTGTTGGCAGCTTCTGATTTAGGCATTAACTTTATACCGCTGACTTTGAGACCTCTATTAACTAACATTAATAGTACAAAAAGGCAGCATAGCGAAAAGCTGAAATCTTGACATTTCAGTAAAGTGCATGAACTTGTCAACATACATATGGCTTTATTTTGACCTTAACGGAGGTGTGGAATTCAGTGATGGTGATACCAAGTTCTTTACTATTTTATTGAGATTGGCAATTTTTTCTTCTAGTAAGTAGTTTTTCTTCTCAGCTGTTTTCTGCCGCTGTTCTGTCATCTCCAGAGCTTTCAGCAATTGCGCATTCTCAACATAGAGATCCTTAACCATCGCATCTGCTTTAGTATTCTTGGAAAGCTAAATAGTGAATGAGAAATAATTACTCCCAGCTATATTGCTATGAAACGAATGGAAGTGAGAGCACTACTGGCAAAGTAAGGAAGCCGTTTCAATTTTTGACTGAGCGCTCATCTTAAAACATGACCATCAGAGGAGATCACCCACAGTATAGACAAACCCAGCTCAGTCCTTTCCTGTACAGACACTCCCTACTGAAAAAAGCCTAGGAGCAAAGTTAACTAAGAGAGTTGCTATAGGTCCGCAACGGAAAGAAATCGAATCTATAAAACCTTCCTTATGTGATTGGCACTTAAAGCTTGCAAAATCAGGCCTCAGCTCTCACATGCCAGAGCTCATCATTAGATGTACTACTGGGCACTGGAAAGCAGCACGGCCTCCCCTCTAGCTGGAATAACTGGGTGAAGTGTCCCATCAACGTGTTACTCCGTACAAGGCTTAAGGGCATAGTTGAAAAAAAGGTTGTGCAGAGAATGCACTTCTCCAAACACAACAATGCAAATAATGCGCATTCAGTTCATACAGCTGCAGTACTTATAGCCCCCAACCTGATCAGCTCCCCGTCTTGGTCAAAACTTCTAACAGCTGCCCTTTGAAAGGGGATTCCCCTTCATCATTTCTATGTAGTTAACCAAAGTACAATTACATTAAGAAGGAGATAGTAGAACTAATAAATGCTGTGTGTTTAACCAATGCACAGTTCACTAGCTCATGTTATAATGAATGTAATAAGCAACAGGTTAGAACAGGCATTATATACTTGAACAAATTATGCACTTATCTGGCGGGCATATAATGGAGTATACAGCCAAGCACAGTGATCCTTTGAGAACAACCATGAGGGGGACTTAAGCTATTATACAAGGGCAGCTTTCAGTATTGCATTTCATGGATTTTTGCAGGGGGGGGGGAATACTCCTAAAAAAAAAACCCAAACAACTCTACAGTTGCAGAGCTCTTCCCCTCTCCTTTATACTTCTATTGCTTCCCATCTTACATTTTTATTTGTAAAAGAGGAACACCTTTTCAACACTTCATCTAGTACTTGTGAAGGAACTAGGTCAGGGCTTCTAGCACTTCTAGACACCAGAAAGGGCAAAAGATAGACCCTTTAGGCATGTCCCTGGGAGTGGGAACGTGCATTTCCCTGGGAACAACTAGCAACAGCATGCATCTATGCTGCTGCTAGTTGTTCCTGGGCACGTGTCTGCATGCATGCTCTGTCACGTGGCAAATTGCCCCAGGGTGGGGTACGGGAGGTTGGGGCCAGCACCTGGGCTGGCCCCAGCAGCCTTAGCTGGGGGCCTCCTGGAATTGCAGTGGTGGCCAGGCTGTGGTTTCTGGCAGCACACACTGCTGCCACATGTGCCACACTGCTTTTTTTTTGGTGCCTTTTTTTTTTTTTTTTTTTTTAACCCTGGGATCTCCCAGCATCAAAAAAACCTGCTGCACTCCAAATTAGGAGCAGGGTCAACGTATGCACATGCAGCACGTACAGTTTGTGGTGCTGCAGGCTGGTTTGCAGCGCTGCAAACCACATGTGCATGCTCGTAGGGATGTGCCCTATGAGAGTAAGCCAGTTTATGGATAAATCCAACTACAGTGACGACTTCAAAGCCCCAGGGCTGGGCCACCAAGGACTTATTTCTTCCCGCCTAGACCTTCTGCAGCAATGATTCTCAGCCACGGGGCTGCAGCACCCTGAGATTCTGTGAGATCCTTTTAAGGATACTGCAGAGTACCCCATAGTATTAGCATTATCAGGTATGCAAGCATCCACGCATGATTCACAAGATAAACCCAGAGATTTCAAATAGAAATCTACAGTGCCAAAACCATTCTGTATTTCTGTGATCTTTCTGAGTTTTTTTTGTCACGGAAGAATTGCTTTAGGATTTTTCCATAGTCAAGAAATGAGTGGAAGCTAAAAACTGGCATTTTCCAAGGGGTGCCTTAAGTCTAAAAAGGTTGAAAAATCACCGTTTTGTAGCATGTAACCCCTGAAACCTTGTTCCTGATAAATCAATAGTATTTTTCACTTGGAGATTGTACTTAGAAGTTTAATGCTGGTGCCTTGTCACTCAGCCTGACAAATTCAGTAAGAGTTTCCTAATTTTTCTCCATCATCTTTGTTTCTTCTTTCTATTCAAAGTCACTACTCAACAGTTCCTCAGTATCCAGTGGGAACTGTACTAAAACCAATCCAAAGCCACCTCTGTGAGAAACAAAATTATCTTGACTACTTCAATCTAGTACACCAACAAAATATAATTTTTAAACAAGTTCGTTGACTATTCTCTCAGGTATTTTTAATTTCCCCTCAAATAAATCAGCCAAAAAGTGTAACCTGCCTGACTTACTACTGTATACGTGTTGTATGACTCATCTGATTTCTGTAATTGATTTTGTTCACACAGAACCATTACTTCAGCTGACAGATTCTAAAGTACGTGGGATATGCCAGAGGAAAGTTAAGCAAGCTCTGCACTCAGTATACCAAGTGACATGTGTACCAGTTCTTCCAGTATAAGAGATGGTTATTTGCATGCTATTATACTGCTCAGGCTTAAAAAATCTGGAATAGGTTAGTGTAATTTATGTTGTAAAACTGCTAAAAACTCATGGGAATTTAAATTTTTGCCAGGGGACAACAGAAAAACATTTGTATAACTCAGAAATTATTTGCATCTTTTATGAAAAGAAACAGGAGCAAAACATGTTTCATGTTTGGGTAAAGTTTTCCTGTTCCACGTGCTATATGAGTGACTCCTTAGAGGAAACCTGTGAGAAATGTAATTTTCAATAAAAGCACCTTTTCCCCTCTAAGCTGAAGATACAACTTTTTCAATTAATATTCCTCTTCTAGTTTGAATGGCTTTGTTTCCCATTTTTAAGCCCTACTGGACTGAACGCTCATAATTCTTTGTGAATTATTAATTATTATTCATGAATGATTAATATGTAATATGTAAAGGCAGGAGGTGAAGCTCAACCTAGAATCTGGGCCTTAAGGACATTTGTGCAGGCATGCTATATATTGAGCTAGAAGCATGAAGGCTAAGTCCAGACAGTCAAAAATCCCGAAGATGATTCCATTCATCTTCACAGGTTAGTCTTAAACTGCGTAGATTGAACCAATAAGCAAGTGAACAGACATTCACTTTTGATTCTGGAAATGCAGCCACATGCTTGCAACTTTCCAGGCCTGAAGCCAGTAGGGCTAGAGCATGCCTCCCTCCTTGGCTGTAGCAGACAGCTTGGGTCAGGGCTAGTCTGCTCACCCTGAGAAAGAGAGGGGAGGGGGAGGTGTTGCAGGGGAGGTATAAAACATTCTGATATGCTGGGGGATTGAGAGTCAACTTGAATCTGGAGGGGATCTGGGACACAAGTTCAATAAACTAATTTAAACTAGATCAGTTCAGTCTGATACTACATCCAACCAGGTTATCTTAAACTGGTTTTGGCCATTTTGAAATTGATTTACGGGCACTGAACTTCTATTGTGTTACAGATTTGAACTGGTTTCTGATCATGTATACAGGTTTACTTGCAACTTCTGGGCATTTATACACATGTTTGTCTGCTCTGGCGCACTGGAAATCCAGCACATCAGAGCAGACTTGATTCTCTGAAGCATGCGAACTGATGTGCCTGGCACTGCATCACGTGCATTTGTATAAATGGTGAAATGCGCATCAGTGCTAAGAAAATGGCAGTGGTGTGCCTATAGCAAAAACACCTTTGATGCGTTTTAGTTCAAAAGTGCGCCGCTGCCATTTTCTCAGTGCTGACACGCATTTCGCCATTAATACAAATGCATGTGATGCAGCACCAGGCGCTTTTCAAAGTGTCGGGCGCTGCATCACATGCATGTGTGCATATGTTCTCTGTCCCTAGTTAAAGTGTCTTTAAACTAGCTACTTTGACCAAGTACCAATCTGGTAAGCTTTGCTCGCTGAGTTATGAACACAAGTTATGTCAGGGCTCCCAGAAAGAGAATGATAAAGCTTACTTGCTCTTTCAGTTGATTTACTTTATCTTGGAGAAGCCTCTTCACAAGCCTCAGTTTCTGTTCAACATCCATCATACGTTCTTCCATCACTTTTAGAAGCTGGTCATTACCTCCCTGAAAAGCAACAGTTATGTGAGAGTCAAGCCATATGCAAACAAACAACACCCCCCCATTGGTCTTATTTCACTGCAGGTTATTCCTGAGTTCATATACAATGTCTAAGTCTTCTTTAAGGCTTATGTCTATTAAATGGCTCATGCAGTAGCTTTAAATGTCCTTATTAGCAGATTATAGTAATATTACTGAATAGCCAGAAGTCTAAATCAGCTTCCTTCTGTCCACTTCCTTCATGGATGCAACTCACAATCCCACAGAAAACAGTAACTCACTGCCATATGAATGCTTGCAACATCAGACTGTGCACTGAGATTTCTTTGAATCGTTTGGGAAGAGGATTATTATATGTATTATAATACAAGATTATTAAGAACAGTATTTTGTGATACGCTGATTGGTGGCAATCAGAGGAAAGGAAATACCAACAAAAGCCAGCTGGTTGCCTGTTTTTGAAGACATTTGAGTGTGTGTTAGCCAAGAGTCACTTTAAGATACTAGGCCCTAGAGAGGTCCATAGAAAAGCCACTTCCCTTGGCCTTGGATGGGCTGTTGGAGGAAGACAGTTTTTCCAAATGGGAGACTAATCGTTGCTTGTAATAGAACAGATTCTGTTATGAAGCTAACTGCAGTTAATGTTATATTTTCCTGGAGAGGCACCAAAAATCTCTCAGTAGAAGGGGTTTTTTTTTTTTGTTTTTATATATGTAGCCTGCAAATAGTTTAAGTGTTTTGAATATACAGGAGTCATGTAGGAAGCAGCATAATGTGATTGTTCTGGATACTTTTCTAAAAGAAAATAGTGTAAAAAGCAACCCCTCCCCACTACGTAGACTTACCGCAGTTGAACAAACTTTGGCTAGAAATGATCTTTTGTAAATTTAGTGGGATTCTCCGAGACATGGGTCACATGCTACCTTTTATTTGGCTTTAAGTATGAAAAGAATGACTGGACAAGCAGAATAGTGTTAACTTTGCTGGTCTCAAAGGATGCGTTTTAATTGGCTCCGATTTGTAATGTGTAATTTTGGGGTTGAAATGAACTTGAAACAAATGACACTGTTTTATCTGAATTTTATATGAATTCCTAAAGTATACCCTTGAATCTACAGGAAGAGAAGAAACCAACTCAAGACTCAGCATGGTATCTTTTTCATGAACCTAACTTCATTGAATCAAAACTGTTTTGAGAAATATTTCAGTTTACATAAACCTGTTAAAAATGTTAAAATCTAGGTTAAACTGCAGCAATTTCTGAGAAACATGGGAATACTAAGTATTTGACTTGAAAATGGACTTCCATCATTAAGAGCTATGAAATCATGCCCTAGTTTTTAAATCCCAACACTGCATATGATGTTGATACTTGAGGGTGACAAATTCTGTCCTCAAATATAGACATAATACGAACACATTTTGTAACCGTGGTACTAGAATATATACTGATGTTCAACATTTCCAGGATTCAAAGACAGTAGAAACAGATTTTGCCTAGCAAAAAAATTCTTGTCTACAAAAGCAGATAAACTACTATGAATATGATCACTATGATATTAGTAAGACAAGACACACTACTATATTTAAAATGATTTTTTTATTTCTCATTTACATCAAAAAGTGTCACCTTTCCCTGTTAAAAAGTTTATACAACTTATACAAAAAGTATAAATAGTCCAGATTTTCTTCAAATCTCATATAAAAATTAGTACCTTTTGTTAAAAATAGTTACAGCACTTTGAGAAAAATAGTGTATTTCTTTCCACATTGAACACATTGACAATTTAAATAACATAAATAAAATGATTTGTAACAAATTGAAAATGACAGCTTGTGAAATTTCACAGAATAGCATCTACACAAATAAATAGGAAAAAAATCCCACATAATACTGTAGAGGATTTTTTTTTAAAAAACACCACAGTATAATTTGACCCTCAAATTTCTCAGCTTATGCCAGTTCGTGTGTATGTAAGGTTATCATGGTAAGGAATGAGATCATTAGCAGCCAAGCTTTCAGAGGTGCCCAATCCTCCTGTAGGAATCTGCATGCACTGCTCGCTGCTCCGGTAGCAAGGCCTAGAGAAAGAAGGCAAGTGGGACACTTCACCCTGATATCAAGATTTTTTTTTTGTTTTAAATACATACATGATTAAGGCAAGTCACCAACACCAGCTAAGCAAGCAAAGCAAGACAGAAACAAAAGGAACAAGCACCAAAAGCATGCAAGGAATTACAAATTATGCTTGTAGAAATTAGTACTAGCACAACATAAATGCAACTGTGAAGACATTCAGAACAGGTTCTGTAGGGGTAAGGACCCTTCAGATAGTTTGGGGTTTTTTTGTTTGTTTTTTTTTTTTGGAGAGAGGGAAGGGAATGGGAGCAGTCAGCTAATTTTATGCAGTTCCTAACTGAAAAGAAACAAAGCAGTTAATCTTCTGGCTAAAGTAACACAACTGTGGCAGTATCTATTCTTATAATCTTAAGAGATTAAGGACACCTGCACATTAGAGGTATTGTTCTCTCATGGACCTACAGAAGAGGTCTTAACATTTCCACATTCAAGCTAGTTTGTAAATAAAATGCACCTGGGACACAACTTGGCTGTAGGCTAACAATTTAAAACTTTCAGTAGAAAGTTATATTTTAAAACTTTCAAGCAAAAAGAAAGTTGTGGGGGAAGCTTTTGGAAGTTTTTGCTCTAATCACTCGTATGGGATGAGAGGAAAAACAGCCTTCAAGAGTATTTTGGACAGAAGAGTTATTGTTAGAAATTATGGCATTAGAAAGTGCAGGTTCAAAAACTTTCCATGTATGGAAAACACCGGTGAGGTAATAGTAAAGTTACTGAAGGAGGGAGGAAAGTGAAAAAGGAATATAATAATGACTTTCCATTCTGCATAAATAGCATAGAAACAAGTATCCAGTTGGCGCACAGCCCCAGATGGATTAAAATAAAAATAGAACAACTAGGATTCAAAATGGTCCAAACAGGTTAGTATGAGTAAGACAAATGGCTCAAGTGCTTCAGTTTGGGGGAAACTTGAAACCATGGGCTAAGCACAGACAGCCAAAAGCCCAAGACTGAATCAATTCAATCTTTGCAGGTCCGTCTAAGCTGCGTAGATTGAACCGATAAGCAAGTGAACAGACATTCACTTTTGATTCCAGAAACACAGCCGTATGCCTGCAACGGCCCAGGCCAGAAGCCAGGGGGATGCTAGAGCATGCCTCCCTGCTCAGCTGGAGCAGACAGCTTGGGCCAAGGCTATCCCATTCACCCTGCGGTGGAGGGTTTGCAGGGGAGGTGCAAAGCATCCTGGGATGCTGGGGACTGAATTAACTTGAATCTGGAGGGGATCTGGGACAGAAGTTCAATAAACCAATTTAACCGAAATCAGTTAAGTCTGATAACTACATCCATTTTAGGTTCATCTTAAACCAGTTTTGGCTCTTTTGAAAGTGGTTTACGTGCACTGAACTTGTTGCATTACAGATTTGAACCAGTTTCCGATCGCTTATACCGGTTTATGTACAGCTTCTGTCCCTAGCCATGGAGACAAAGCAGCAATCTTTGCAGGGCAGTTGCTAGACAATGATGCAAACTGAACTGAGACATGAACAAACATGGCTGTGATCGGAAAGCAAGATGGGGATACAGAAAGACCACAGAATAATTCAAACAGACTGTCAAATATTGCCCTCTATACTTGTCAGTAAGTTTGCTGCAAGTGATTTTGAGAACCATAGTATAGAAGGAAGTCAGGCTTCAACAACTGCATCAGGGCTAGGTTAAATTTACATAGAAAGCATGGATCTTCTGGGATTGTACTCACTGGTGACAAGATGATGGAGTGGGGATATGATGCAAGTTTTCAAGAAGCTAAAGGGGACATTAAAATGTACGTAAACTCCGGAAAATTATTCCTCAAAAATCAGGGAGATATTAAAACTAAAAAAAAACTCAGTGAGAAATGAGAATTTAGGCAACATTTTTATAAAAATGTTCTTCCTTTTGCTGAACTGAAAGGCATTCACATATTTAGGCCTTTGCCTGTATTGGGACAGCATACATGTTTAACAGATTAAAAAAATTTATTTGATCAACCCATGCCAATCTCCACTGTAAGCACCCTAGAACTTGTATATCTTGTTTTACCTTCAGCTAACTACATTAATCTCCACTAAAGGCTTATCCACAGTAAAGTTGTGCACAGGTTCAACTAGGCACATCTATATCTTTTTTTTTTTTTTTTTTTTTTTTTTTTGTGGTGAATCCAGTGCCCTTTTCCACAGATAAGTCTTACAGAATACCCAACCGGAAAGATTTACCTGATACTCATCTGCAGAGCTGCTAGTTACAGAAGGTGCATAGCTCAACCTGGGTGAGCTTTCAAACTATTAAAAAACTTTTCCGTTCCCTAAAACAGTAGGGGCCATCCTTTTTTTTTTTTTTTTTTTTTTTTTTTTCTTTCTTTCTTTTTTTTTTTTTTTTTTTTAAAGTCTATTGACACAAAATACGCCCCCCTTTTATGAGTGTCACTCCAATCCCCTTCCCCTGCCCAGTCTATTGCTCTGCTTTCTGCCCTGTGCTCCCTGCCAAGTCTCCTCCTCTGCTTCCTCCTTCCAGCTCTGTGTTCCCTGTCTTACCTCCCTGCTCTGCTTTCTGCTGCTGTGCTGCCTCTCCCCTCTCTGATCTGCCACCTGCCACACACACAGGCTGCCTGCACTACTTGCGCTCCATTGGGCCACCCCTGCCCTAAAAGATCATATGATTGATTCCTCTTAACACAATCCAGAGTACATTTGAAAACACTGCTGTAATGCAGATTTTGCGTGCGTGTTTTCAGTTTTCATTTATTCGTTTCGTTACAAATAAAATTTGAAATCAAGCATTACATTCTACTCGTCAGCCCTTTCTGTGTGAGCAAAGGAGCTCAGTTTATGGTAATATTGCTTCTTTTCACTAGAGGCCCAAACAGAAGATCTTATAATGCAAGGCAGCTTGCTTTTAATTCATTGTTATGCTCACCTTTAGTTTCCTGTTTTGGGTTCTGTCTCTTATATTAAAAAACAAGCAAACCAAAAAACCTATAAAATATTTTTAAGTATCATAGAAGAGCTCTTTTACAGCCTTCAAGTCCATTAAAGCACATATGGATAGGAATATTATTTTTTTCATACACCTATTCCCCTCCATCCCCACCTGATCGCCAAAAAGCTCAAATATTAGCGAGTCCCTTAAAAGATGCTACATTATGAATAACTGTTCATTGTTTCTATGCTGAAGGAGTATATTGTGCTTTAATTCTTCCTATTTGGGTATAGGGTATAGGTAATGTTGAGGAAAGAAGGAGTCAGTTGCTTAGAGGAAAGATAGATCAGTGACATTTAAAAAAACCCCAAAAAACAAATTTTAGGAACAAAACCCCCCAAACTGTTGGGCAAGTTTCAAAGGCTCTTGCCAACTTTACAATCTTTTGGGTTTCACAATGTTGTTTAATGCTGCAATGTCTTCTGAGCATGGCGTTGTTCAAAATACAAGCTTATTTGTTAAGGAGACAGGAGAAAGTATTTAGCATTTTAGTCAAGTTATTTGAAGTTCTGCTTCCCCACACAAAGCTCAGGTTAACATGTCAGTTTTTAGAAATACGGCACCGGAGAACTTGTTTCCTTTTTGGGGAAAAAAAAAAAAGCAAAGCAGCTTAGAGCAACTGTAGTTTACACTGGAAATGCTAGCGTTCCTACCAGCTCAGCTCCTTAGCTCTTGTAACGCACCTCTTATGCATTTCAGTTTGGGGTTTTGTTGGAACACACAACTAGAAACTGTATTAAAAGCAGTGCATATATTAAGCCTTTTATGAGCAGTGGCTGCAATGTGTTCTTGAAAAATAACCGATGGGTTTTCTTTCAATAGTGCCAGCGTTTTCAAAATGTCACACCCGGACCTCTAAAATGCCCTTCTGCTATGCCCAGGTTTCAGTAAAAAGAAAAACAACCCAAAAACTTTCAGGAGCATTGAAGATGTTTGTGCTGTATCATGCAATACCTGACTCAGCTGAACTCCACCATTTGTGACAGCAATATAATACACGGGTACGGTATGTTGTAGACATGCGTTTCTGCAATTTACAGTATGCCGCGCCTTTGAAACTAGGGAATTTCCTACCTGGATATTGCATGCAGAAATAGTGAGCTGTCATATAAAAGTATCAACGAGGAGTGTCAAACTCCTCAGGGCCTGTGGACTGGATGAGTAGTGCAGGGCTGGTCCACGGGCCGGATCAGGTCCACAGATCCCTCCACTCGCGTGTCTCCTTCAGTAAGCACTGCAGGGCCAGTCTAGGGCAGTGTGGGGGTCAATAGGAAAACATCAGGGACTGGATTCTGGGGCTCTGTGGACTGGATCTGGCCCATGGATGTTTGACACCCCAATGTAAACCAAAAGGAGAAAAGCTGCTAATGCCTAGATAGGAACGTTTATTGCTTGAAGGGGTTGGAAAAAAAATAAATCCAGAGGACTGCACAGTTTAAGCTACAAGTTAAACAATGTACATGCTCATTAGGAGGAGATCTTTAGTTTTTGAACTGGCATAAACAGAGAAAGGATCATAGATCAGGAAAAAAACTAAAGGCATCTACTCAGATGTGCACTCTACATTGGAAGCCGTATAGTAAAAAGGATCGTACCTGTGGCATGTTTGTTTCTGAGGGTTGGTTTTCAAGTTCCTCCTGCAGGCGCCGATTCCTCCTTTCTGCCAGAAGCAGCTGATGTTGGAGCTGCTGGAACTGCTCCTTGGGCACCATGGTACAGCCTTGCTGCTGGAGCTGCGGCAGCTCCCGAGTGTGCTGCGACTGGCTAAGCATCGCATTGGAGCTCGAGTGTAGCATCTGATGATGAAACAAACCAGCCGTCAGGCGCAACAGTTTACGCTCGCTCCCAGCGCAGCTTTGAGAAGGGGCATTTCAGGAAGCACGTGCACTAGAGCCTCGCTGGAAACCAGCTCCCGCTTCAAAACTCAACGACTGATTGAAACGTGAGCTGCATTAGTCATTCTGTAGCAGCACTAGTGATTCTTTAACTCGGAGAAAAAATACGGCAGTGAAAAACGTTGCTCGGTTTCCAACAGGGAAAATATATAGGCACTTGTATTCTACTCGGATGGGGTCTGAGCTTTGATTTAGGTCAGTGGTGATCAACCTTCAGCCCCCAAGGGCCTGGAAATTTGGTGATGGGGGGAGCAGTAGCAGCATTAATTGCCCCTAGAGTTGGGGCAATTAATGGTAACACCACACCCCTGCTGCCAAATTTCTGGACTCATGGGGAGCCCCACAGCTGGGTGATGTGGGTCTACATGCCCCACGGCTGGGTCCGGCATGCAGCATTGTCCCAGATCACACCCACAGACTAACCCAGCGTGCAGAATCCAGCCCATGGACTGGCCCTGGGCTGCTCATTTGGCTCACAGGGCTAGAGAGGTTGAGTACCGCTGATTTAGGTCACTGGAAAAAGCCCAAGCTCAGACTAATCAAATGATTAGCTAAATGATATTTATTAGCTAAATGATCAAAGCTAAATGATATTTAACTTAAGTATTATTTTATACCTTTATGTTAACAGCTCCAGTTACATGTTTGGTATCAAGACCCAAGGAAAGCCATCGGCGAGGGGTGGGGTGAAAGGAAGTGGCTTGGCAAAATGGGCCCACAGGTATCAGTTCTCATCTAGATTCAAAATGTAAACTCAAGTTCAGAGATGCTCATATGTGCAGTTATGGCTTGGGGCCTCAATCTCTGGTTTTTAAGGTTAAGCTACAGGTAAGGACTTTTCAGATTCATGCGTGGAGATTTAAGAAATTAAATTCTACTTATTACAGCCTATTTTGAATTATGTGACTAGAACCCTGTTCCTCGTTCTTTATATTTACTGTGGTATGCTGAATAAAATTAATCCTCAATTAAATTTCTTCAATTGTGGGCAGATAACTGACCAACAGGGTTGTGTATGTTCCCATATCTGACGGAGCCCCTGCAAGAGGGAGGTTAGCAATCAAATACACAGATTTCATTTCTGCCAAAACCTGAAGCTTTGTCTTCACTAAAAAAAAAAAAAAAAAAAGTTTGCTGGTATAGGTATATGAGCAAGTTTTCCTATAGTCCTGTTTATCTGGGCAGAAGGTACTTATACAGGTAGAAACCAGCTCATGGTGGTATAATTGCATCTACACCAAGGCTTTTTACCAGTATAAAGTGATAAAGAAAAAAAAATTACATTCCTAATTGATATCACCATATTAGCAAAAGCTTTTACATTTAGGCCAGGCTTGAGAGGTTCTTGCTTCTCTCTCCTTCTGAAGAAGTGCTGCTTTTGCCACCTGGGTGGGGGTGCAATGTCATTTCTGGTATCACAGCGTTCCAGTAATGCCACTGTGAACCCAGAAGACTCACTGTAACAGGAGGGAATTTGTCAGTCAAGTTTATGTACTAGAGGTCTGGTTAAACCCTATATTTCTCTTTTTCCAGACAATAAAAATGGAATTAAAAAAAACAACAGAGAAGTTTCCATCTAGAACATTTTGTGATTTCAAAATCTGAAACAAATCATAGAGTCCAGATACTGAGGGTTTAATGAGACCAACATGCAGCATGATGCAATTGGATGGCTCTTCTTGTTAACCTATTAGCTACATCATGCAATTTCTCAAGAGGGCTTGATTAACTTTACCCCTCATAACAACTACCCTGGTCTCCTGGGTAGGGGTGTTTGTTGTTGCAGTCCTATGCATGGTTTTACTGCTTCTTTCCCAAATGGCATGATTAAGAAATATCAGGTAGCAATCATGCTTTATTCTTTGGGTACATTTATTTTGGGAACATTTGTAACCATTTTTTTTTTGCACTGGGGCAGCTTCAGTGTGGATGCCGTAGTAGAGACGGCATAAAATCCTTTATCACTTAAATCCAACCCTGGTTTGTTTAGCCTGCACGTAAAATCTCCTGTGCCCTGTCTATGCTATAGCTTCTACCTTTGTACCCTGGTGCAGGCTATATGGAGGTTATTAATATTCTCAGAAGAGACAAGGCCCGTTTCATTTCTGTACAAGCATCAGAACATACTTCTGAACCAGTGTTTAAATGACTACTGTAATGCTCTCCTAGAAAAGGCTAAGAAAAAAAACTCAGTCCAGGTTTGATGGATTTGGTGGGTTTTCTGAAAAATATTTCAGAATTTCTTTTTTACAACATGAAACAGAAAGATCAGTTAGGAAAAATCTAAAAGTTGGGCTAAAAAAAATCTAAAAGAAATAATAGTAAAAACCTTTATTCTCTAGAAAATTAAGTGCACTCTTTACCATGCTAATCTTCTGAGCAACGAGGAGCAATACCTCATAATTTATGAGATTAAGCCTCTTACTGAATCTGACCGTATATATTGGCTAATTTTTCAAAGAGTTCGACAATGAAAGACATGCAACGTATCAGATGTTAATATGAAGAGACATCTCCAAGCTTACAAACAAGTAAAAGGCTATTTAAGTTGAAAAGAAAAATTAAAATTTCAGAGCCACTTTTCATTTTCTGAAATTCAGTTTATTCTCTTAGGCTACCAGCTGTTTTGTTGTTCTTGCTGTTACGTTAAAGCTATACTTTAGAGCAGTGATTCTCAAGCAGGGTGCCAGGGTACTCTGGGGTACCTTGAGATACTTTCAAGGGCGCTGTGGGATCCCACACAATGCGAGTCCTGTTAGGTGTGCAAACACAGTTCACAAAATAAATCCAGAGTTTTCAAATAGGAATCCAGTGTCAAACCATTGGCGGTGTGTAGGGGGTGCATGAGGGTGTACATGCACCCCCTGAATGTGGTGGTACACCCCCTGCTTGCCACCGATACCATCTGCGGGTGGTCCGTGATCTCCGCTCGCCGCCAGCAACAGTGCCGCCAGCACCTGCGGGAGCTCGATATGCCCCCCCAGCCTCCGGGGGCATGCAGTGTTCATGGTCAAAACCATTCTGCCCTGCTGTGGGCTGAGCTATTTACAGCAGAAGAATTGCTCTAATATTTTTGTGTAGGCAAAGAGCATGAAAATTAAGAGTTGGCATTTTTTTTCGGGATGTCTGGAATCTTAGGGCACTTTTACACAAGCTCCAAGGGTGGTGGTATGGGGGGGCAGTGCTTTCATTACAGCAGCTCCGAGAGCCGCTCTAATTAAAGTGCTGCCGCATCTCGTGCACCAGCGTCCCCACACTTAAAAATAGCAGTAGGGGTGCTTGAACTAAAACTCATTCAATGAGCTTTAGTTCAAGTGCCACTACTGCCATTTTTAAGCACAGGGACACTGATGCACGAGATGCAGGAGGCTGCTGGAGAACAGTAATTACCATGATCCAGCAGATTTGATGAATCGAGTCTGCTCCAATGCACTGGACTTCCAGCATGGTGGAGCAGCCTCTGTGCTCGTGTGTATAGGAGCCCTAAAAAAGTTGAGAACCACTGCTTTAGAGTATGCCCTTTACGATGCCAGGAAGAGGATGTTCACAATTTATTCATATCATCAGTACAGCATTTGAACTAAACATGAATAGCTGCATTAAAATGAACAGCGGCCCTTTATTTAAGAGCTATTGGGTTTGTAACAATCCACATAACACAGCATAATAAAGAAACACATTCAATTTCTCCATGCTATGGTAGTACATTGAAAACGATTGCTCTACCTTCGCACACTATGTCAGACAGAGAACTGCCCCCTTCTCTGCTAGCTCCAACCACTGAGCTCTAGACACAGGTTAGCCACAAACAAAAGGAGAACAGGCATAGAGAAAAAGAGAAAGTCACAGGCATTAGAGGGCAGAAAGAGTTAAGTGAGTTTCATACACACCTGCTGGGAAAAGTGGGTCAAATATGACAGAGAAAAAAAAAATCTTGAATATTAAATATAAAGTTTGAGAACGTTTATTTCCGTGTATGGTTTTTATAGGCGATAGAAACACAGTCAGGCACCTCAATATACAAATAGTACATCGACATTTCTCCCATGCACTCAACTTTTATATAAGCAATTCCCCCTGATGTCCTTCACCCTCACAAGACATAAGAAAGCATTTTGGATCACTTATCGGTTGTAGAACAACTGAATCTCAGTGTTTTCAGACAGCATGCCCATTTCCTAGATATATAGGAAACTTGCATATAAGCTATCATGGAAGAGTTCAAGACTTTATCATTAAATAAAAAAAACCCCTCTCTCTATATATAGTTAATGATAAAGTCTTGAACTCTTCCATGATATTTTCTATGCAAGTTTCCTCTGGAAAACAGTCTCAGTCATTTTTGGCACAAGACTTTGCTTTACTGGTCTTTCATGCAAATTCAGGACACAGGCTTATATTAAAGTCAAGGATCAAAGATGTGTCCTGGGCCTCAGTGGTTAAGGTTAAGTAGTTAAGGCAAGCCCGTTTCTGCAGCTGGCAACTAAGGCAATGATGTGGCTAGCTTTGTATCAGGCCACCTGAATAACCAGGTACTCATCTGCAGCTGGTTAGCTGGAGGCAGCCTTCAGCTTGAGTCTGGCGTGAAACTCAAACGCACACTTCTGGATCTGCAGTAACAGACTAACTGTTCCTGTGTGGCACCACAGACAAAAACCAGGAGAGGCGAGTCAACGGCAAATATCCCCATCATAAATAGAAAACAGCTTTATGAAATGTACTTTCATTCTAACTGCTCAACAAACTTGTTTCAAGCACATAGAAATTAATCCATCAGACATAAAAAGAAGGACATTCCCCGCACCCTTGCCATCTTAAGCTACTGGCCCCCGAGTTGCTCTGCTATGGCTATGAGCAGCGTTCCCTCTAAGCTGCGTGGTGTGCATGGCACGAGCATGCCTCCGCGGCCGCACGCACCATGCAGCTTGGAGGGAACATTGGCTATGAGCAGAAATTAAAGCAAGATAAATATAGAAAAAGTTTCTCAGAGAAAGAAATCAGCTTAGAAATGTCTCTAGGGTTAAAATGTCTGGTGCTTAAGGTGTAGGTGGTTACAGGAAAGCAGCTTTGTACGTTAATGGCCAAAAGCTGTTGCAGTTCACACTAATGTTGTTCAATGAGTTATGTTCAGTAGAAGTTTCAACCTTTTCTTGGGATACAAAAGTCTATGCCTTCGTTGCCATTTGCTTTTAATCATAAGTCTGCAGGAACAATAGTTTCATCACACACAAATGAATGACAAACATCAGGGCACTTTACAGGTGTGTACATGTAACGCTGCAGGATTTCAAGGTTAATGAGGATGTGATGGGGCACTGAGAGATTATCTTGACTGGCCTTTTTCACTGAGTTAGCACATTAGTGTCCCATGTTCCTGTCCTACCGATACCAGGAAATATCTTTAAATACATAATCCATAGTGCGATGGAGTCATATTTTCCTCCATTTAACATAGTTAATATTTATTGAAATGTACCTCCATAAGTTGTTCATCCAATTTGACTTGTTTTTTTCTTAGCCCTTCATTTTCCAAGTTGATGGTCTCCAATTCGCGTTCAAGCGAATTCATTTGACTGATCTGTTAAAAGACAAGACTTAATTTAAGGAATGCAGTCTGGGAAACTGTTTTATCTACTTTGCTTATTAACTTACTACTTTGCTGACCATGGATTTTTGTTCCCAAAGATAATTACTGGTTGAATAAAAAAAAAGAAAAAAAAAGGGGGTATTCAACATCACATGTAATCAGTTCAGTATTAATCTAAAATGAAAAACTGAGGTACAGAGAGAGAAGCCTAGTGCCACAGGCTGAAGAATACAAGGTGAGGGAAGTGTAATGTAATAGTAAATTAAAGCTGATATACAAACATCTGCATGTCACCAGATGGTCCCCAAAAAAGAGAATCAAAGATGGGTTTTGTTTGTCTTGTTTCACTAGTGGGTGGGTGTGCGCACGTGTGTGTTTTTCAGCTGTAGTGCTTAAGAATTCTAATATCTATATAACAATTGTAGTATATTAATATTTATATTCAAATGCTAGTGTGTGCATGTGTGTATACATATATATATACATATTATATATATATATATATACCATTAGAATTCTAATATCTAGCTAGTGTCTGTCACAAAAACCTTACCCTCTAATGAGACAAGAGGCAGCAAATTGATACTGACTGCTAGGAAAGCAATCGGACAATCATTTGGTTCAGACAGAGGTCTGCTTAACAGTTTAATTTTTGGCAGGCATCCTAGAAAGGGGAGGTTTAGGGAAGCGTACAAAAGAGTACAAGGAAACACTTTTGGGACTGTTTACAGGGAACTCTTCCCAAACATGAGGGCAGTGCGGTAGTGAGATAGTGCCTAGAAAATTCAACGAATGGGCAATAGAGTTCAGCTCATAATACCAGCCAATCTTCTGGTATTCGCTCTCAGAGAGAGAATAGCAAGGGAGGAGACTAACTGTAAAAGCCCTTGAACAGTACGAGTTTTGCTCACAGGAGAAGTTTAGATTTCATGGCCAGGAAGCAAGGTAACCCCATCTTTGATTTGGCAGACTGAACACTTCAGTCTCGCAGTTTTGGTTTGGTAAAATGACAAGCCACCCAGAGCAATAAGAGCCACACCTAACATCTACTGTTCTGCATACCAAAGTTTGTGTTTTTACTTTGGAAAATGTGTCTGCCACCACACGCGCACCTTTCTTAGAAATGGGTTGGAAGATTTCTTTGGCTACGCAGGTGCTCGGGATATATCCAAACCCAAAATAGAATACTTATCCTGTACCAAAACTGCCACGCTCAGTCTAGCTTTGCTCTGGAGGGAGAAAGAACAAGGAAGGGCAAATAATGGCTTATGAACTTTGAGGATGAGTTTTTCTGGGATGTCCAGGGTGTCTGTACAAAATGAAACACTGAATTCCAGCCTTAAAGCTGAAGTGTGCTTTGGTAGCCTGAGCCTTTGCTACGGGAATGGAAATGTTCGCTTCCAAAAGGGCACGCATCATGTCAAAGTGAAAGGGCCTGTACTCAACTGCCTTATGCATATAGGTACATGAGCAACAGGAGGAAGATCCAACCTGATTATTGTTGGCCAGGCTGAAGAACATGTTCATGATGGACATAGAAATGTAAGTGGTTACACTCTAATGCTACTTGAAAAGAGTAGTTACCTAAAAACACAGAACACAAAAGGCCTCCCCCACTTCCAAGTGGAATAGGATTTCATAGCAACACTACAAAACCCAAAGCATTTGGATATAACAAAACAAATAAAATAAAACAATTGTAGCTTTCCATCTGATCACAGGCAACAGCAACATGCGAGGCACTTAAGCCTGAAAAAGCAGTCACTCCTTCCGTTTGAAACAAACCTTCCTGTTTGCAGAGGACAGTTCCTTCTGAAGCTGTTCACACTCTCTCTTCAAGCTTAATTTCTCCTGCTCTATGGCTTTCATAATACCCGACTGGCTTTGATGTTTTTGGTGTTTCAGGGAAAGGATGTTAGATTCCAGCTGCCGAATCTGAAGTGGACAGAGAGGTTGAATAAAGAACATCAAAAGTCATTCATATGTTCTCTAGTCATGTTTGCACCATCCGTTATGTATAAATGGATGTTACCTATCACAAATCAAACTGCATTCAATTTACTTACAGTGTAAACTACTGCCTTATTTCCTAACCACTGTTCTTTATTACAATTTTAGTAGTAAATTATTAGCAATGAGAACTATTAAGTTCCTTTTAATAGTAGAAAGTAAGGGATTTACGAGTGCGATCTAAAAAAACTGTAGGAGTAAAGTTAGTTGTCTTCTAAAATGGTCTAGAAGCCAAAGTATGGCAGCTTCATATTAAGGATAGATTTATCATAAGAAGTTCTCAAACATCAAGTTTCCCTAAAAGGAAGCATTACTTTACTTTATAAAAAGTGTCTGGCACCCCAAGATATTTCCTGCAAAGCACCAATTGAAGCCCTCATTAACCAATTTTTCTGCAATATTTCTATTCAAAACTAACAGAAATAATTTTCTCTGGAATATGCATTGCAAAGCAGGAGAGAGGGGGCTTTGCTTAACACACAATTCACATCAGTTCCAGTCTCAACTTGCTCAACTTACCTTCTCCCTAGAATGACTGAGATCTGTTTTAGTGGTCTGGATTTCTCTCTGGAGCCTCTCATTCTCTTGCCTCAGTAGCTGCTGCTCCTGTTTCATTAGCTGATCCAGTTCATCCCAGCAGAGCTTCTTCTGCTGGCTTTGCAGCCCTGAAGAAGTCACGGCCAGTTCTAGAACCCGATTCTTAAGACAGACAGAATTGCAGGGTTAGGCCTTGAAACAGAAGCAGGCATTTTCTGCATTCAGAAAGACTTCACATTTACCAGGAGCCTAGGAGAAGGTGACAAATGGCTGTCCATCTTCCGCCTTCCCAACAGTCTATTTTTTTAATAAAACCACAACATGCTAAATTACAGGGCGAGCAGGAGCTTCTTCCTAGCTGAAATCAGGTGGCAAATCAGTAGTGAAACATCAGCCTGTTTCATGACTGCACTTAGTTTAAGGAGAACCCCCCCCCCCCCAAAAAAAAACAAACACGTTGTTCTATTTCAAAGTCTAATCAAGCAAAACAGCAACTTTAGAGATTATTACAGAGTCCTCAAACGACCTCTTGTGTGTGAGAGCATGAAACATTTCCGTCATATACATGCAAGTAGAATTAGTGTCTGAATTCATGATACTGAACACAAGATTACAAACTGGCATTGCTTTTCTATTATACTTGAGAGGGGGCTATAATACTGTCTTGTCAAAGACGCATTTAACTGAAAACTGAGCATTAGTCAAGCTGTGCGTCAGGCTTTATGGCTAGGGACAGACACTATATACATACACCGGTTTAAGTGATCAGAAACTGGTTTAAACCTGCAACAGAACAGATGTTCAGTGCAAATAAACCAGTTTGAAAATGACTGAAACCGGTTTGAGATAAACCTGGTTGAATGCAGTATCAGACTTAACTGATTTGGGTTAAACCAGTTTATGCAATGTCTGTACCAGACCCTTTGCTGGTTTAAGTTAAACCAGACTCCCCCAGCATCCTGGCATGCTCTCTGGGCTGGGCTGGGCTCTCTGCTCCACAGCAGGGCTGGCCCCTCTCCTCTGCTCCCTGGCTGGAGCTCAGCAGAGACTGCAGGCATCTGCCCGGCTTCCCCCTGCTAAGCAGGGATTCCCCCATCCCCTCTGCCTTACACAGACACTTCTCAGCATTAGCTAGCACACCACATGCTGGCTACAGTCCCTGCTGTGGGAGACGGGACAAAGGAAGAACCAACAGGTAGCTGGTAACGTCCCTCTGTTGTTTTCTTAATGGAGTGATAACCACTGTTATCAATTCCCTGCTGGGCTGGTCAGATGAGGTGGGGGGATGGACCCCTCCCTAATCAGAGCATGCTGCGGGGGCCTGGCCATGCCTCCCTCAGCTCAGTACTGTAGAAGGGAAGGGAGGGCTGCTCTGTGCCCCCCCCCCCGATTCTAGCCTGAGCCACTGCAGGCATGTGCAGGGATGTCTGTGCAGTTACCAACTGATTCAGCCTAGCCAGATTAGACTAACCTGCAAGATTGAATCAATTCAGGCTCAGGCTTTTTGAATGTCTGTCCCTAGCCTACCTGTACTCTGAAGCCCCATTCAGAAGTTAGTTATCCCTAACCATTGGTGAGAATAATTGTACGGAGATTTTTTTGGAAGCTTGTCTTAGTGCCAATATGAAAATAACTCCTTGAAAAAAAGATATTTAAAATGTTTAGAGTGGTCAAGCTAAGTGAACCTCCAACATTGACATGCCTGATTAACTAATCTATCACAGATCTCAGTGCAGTAGTAGTTTTAGAGGATTGGTTATAAACGATGATGAACAAGTACGTTAAAAGAGGACTTTGGATTTTTTTGTCCTTTTGCGTTTGAATACAAATACCTGACTGATGAAATAAAAGGATGTGTTGGCTAAACCGTCTTTCCATTTTCCTAAGAGAAACGTAACAGGGAATGCTATCCTTTACGAGACATCATAATGGAAAGGAAGGTGTCTGGATTCAAACAGGTTTTCTTTGCACTCAGTTTTACAGGCTCATTAGGCTGCATCGCTTGTTTACACAAGATGGTCACAGTTTCCACATTTAATGTCAACTTGCTTAAGTTTTTATTACAGCATGCGTCTTTTACCAATGATGCTTAAGTGCTTAGATATTAGTCAAATATTACAATAAGCTACTAAAGATAGCAATACCAGTAACTGAAAATTGTGGATAATCAATACACCATAGCATGCAAAGCAGTTACTTTGGGCCTGCTCTATGTCAGTTTAACTGCAGGCCATCGCCATTCGTGCACGTTAACTACTCCTTAAGTTATTCAAAAGTTACCTTATCATTGGCATTTTGGAGTTGCTTGTGCAGTGACATCACTTCCTGCTTAAGAGCTTCCTTCTCCTGCTGGGTCACCCGGAGGTCTGATTTGAGTCGTGACATTTGAAGGTTGATATTTTGTAGTGCTTCGTCCAGACTCTGGACCTGAAATGCAGGAGGGCACAACTTTAATCTGGCTGTGACGAAGAACTAGAGATTTTAGTAACTAACCGCTGTAATCGATGTTGTGCATCTCATCTACTAAGCATGGATCAAATGTCTAGGACTTCAAGATCTGAGTAATGAGAGAGGGAGGAGGTCAAAGTGCTAATGTTGTTAGGGAAGAAGGTTAAGCCTTAGACCAAAAGAGGTGAACCTTTTTGGCAGGAAT